GGCAGTGCCACCATGCCCGGCTAATTTTTTCTATTTTTAGTTGCCACGCTAATTCCTTTCTATTTTATAGAGGATAGGTCTCGCTCTTGCTCAGGCTGGTCTCCAACCCTTGACCTCAGGATTCCTCCCACCTCACCCTCCCAGAGTGCTAGATTATAGGTGATGCCACCCACGTCCCAGCCTGAATCAGTCACTTTAAAATGGTTAACAGATAATTTATGTTATGTGAATTTTACTCCAATTTTAAAAGGTAGAGGGGTGCAACTGTGGCCCACCCCACTTGGCCTGCTGCGGGGGGAGGAGGCCTCCCAGTCTTCCGTCCAGACTCCTGGGTCCTTGTTCTAACATTTCTGACGTTTGTCCTCCCCATTTGAAGGTAAGACCTACTCATTAAAATCTGGGAAACACCCGAGTCATCAGAAGACAAAAGTCACTCACAGACCCACCCAGACCCAAGCAGAGCAGTACTGGGCGGGGCTGCAGGGAGTGGTGCGGGTCCCACTCCTGGACTCAGACCCCAGCTGCAGCCCTCCAGCCCCCCAGCACTCAGGCCTGGGCTCCTTCCCTGGCTCTCTCTGCCTTGTTTCCTCATTTGTCAAACGGGTGTGTTAATAGTGTCCCCCTCCTCAGGTGTGTGAGGATTAAATGAATAACGATCTTGGAGCTTTCTTAGTGCACAGTCGCTCACAGGAAACCTACCGAGTGCCTCGCGTTACACGTCCTCACCTCTCGGCCTGCGCCCTTCTGTCTCTCGTTCTTTGCGTGCAGGTCCCCATCTGCCGCGTCACGCCGTTCCGGTCATCCTACCCTGGGCTTTTCCCAGCCAGCGCCTCCAGATGACAGCGCGGCTCCCTGCAGACTTTTGCCAAAGTTGCTTACGATCGATCCTTTGACCACGCCAGCGCCGTGCAGCTCCTGTTGCCCTGAGGCTCCCCACCCCGCTTTCCAGAATTATGTCATCCCTCACGGGGACAGTTTTTCTGGAGAAAGTTGTCTTCTCTGCACAGTGGCGACGTTCCCAGAGGTGCAACCTGCTTCTGTTCAGACTCAGCCCACACGCCACCGGAACCATCGGTCGTCCTCGGACACGTTCTCGGTTGGATTGGGAGGAGCCGCCTTGCCGAACCCTCCAAGGGCTGTGGTGCTGCAGCCTCCATGTCGCTATTGGGCTGAGCTGGCCTCGCTCCCCCCTCTAAGCCTTAAACTGAGCGCAGAGGGGTGGAGGCCCAGGAGGAAGGATGGGAGGAAGCGGAGGATAGAGGCTCAGGGCCGCTGAGGGAGCAGGCCAGGCGGAGCAGGTGGCCCCAGGGCTAGAGCAGGTGCACCCCAGCCCAGCGAGTAGTGTGAGTGCGGTATTCCTGGGACGCAGCCACACCCGTCCATTGCTCCGCTTTAGACCTAGCGCGCTGAGGCTCCGTGGCACTGCAGCGGGGACGCTGAAGAGCAGTTGCAACAGAGACCTTACGACCAGTAAAGCCAAAAACTAATGGACTGTCCAGCCCTCGTGTCGGAAAGCACTTCCCAGCGCCCTGGACGGAGGGCAGCTTAGGGCTCGCCAAGTCCGGTGCCAGGAAACAGGTGAGAAAGCGCTGAGGAGCCCACGGGGGGGGGGGGGGTCACTGTTGCTCCCCCCACGGAAAGCCGGTTACTGAGACAACGGACGAGGCTGCCAGGGAAGAAAGGATTTATTTCAGTGACGCCTCAGCCGGGAGGAGGGAGGTGTGGGCTGCCTCAAACCCGCCTCCCTGACCGACAGGGTCAGGGGTTTTCCTGGAGGCGAAATGGGTAACGCACGAGGGCGTGAGCGTCACCGCGTGTCGAGGCGGAGTGCGGGGCACGGGGCGCGGTGAGAAATCACGCGAGTACCTACGTCCCACGATCAAAATATCTATCACAGTGAGCTCACTGTAATATTACAGTATTACAGTGAGCCAGGGGGTAACACTGGTCCTTCCTTCAGCCCCGGGCGCAGGCTCCGTGGGTCCTTGGGCACAGTCTGCGCTGGGTGTCGCGAGTCTTGTCACACAGGTGGCGTGAGGCTGTGTAGTCATCTCGCGGCTGCAAGGAGGCTCCGCCGTTCCTGGGAAAGAAACGCATGAGGGAATTCCTCGGTGCAACAGAAAGTTGCAAAGTGCCGGTCAGCAAGCCACCCTGGCCTGGGGACTTGAGACATAAAAGAACTACAAAAAAAACCCATTAAAGTGCTTCCTTGCTAATGGAGACCCCTACCAAAGAACCGGCAGAGACGGACTTGGCGTGAGAAACAGCTCACAGAAGAGAGTCGGGAGGGCCGAGGCTCTGGCAGCGTGGGGCGCGGCCCGTCTAAGGGGGCGTCCCGGGCCAGAGCTGGAATCTCTCAGATGCACCGGAAACCTAGATGTGTCTGTGAACAAGAAAGGAGGCCGCAGGGGTGAGCGCATGGACTCAGAGCGCCGGGTGTGAGTCCCAGCTCTGCCACTTCTCACCGTGGGGCCTTGAGCCGGTCATTGGCCCGAAGGCTCCCTCGCCTACAAACTGGGAACAGGGACAGCACTCATCCATAGGGCCGGGCGGAGCATTAAGCGAGTCCACATTCTTGGGCTGCTAGAACAGCGCCGTGTGCGGCGTCCGTACTGGGTCAGTATTAGCTCAGTCGTCTCCTGGTGTCTGGCGATGAAAACCCGGCGGCAGGGAGGATGGACAGAGCAAAGGAAACATGCTGACATCCCACTTGCGGGCGAGGGGACCCCGCTGTGCTGTCCCCACCCCCGGCAGAGTGGTTGAGGGGCAGGAACCTGGACTCGGAGCCCAGCTCTGCCGGGGGTCTCGCCTAGGGGGGTCCTCGGGCTGCTGGGCGGGGAGCCGTGAGGGTCACGGGGTAAAGGGCCTGGAGGGTCGGCTCACCCCCTTCCGTCCCACCCCAGCGGCAGGGGAGCCCCCCATGGGGTCAGGGCAGGGGGTGGGGCTCAGATTCTTCGGTTAACTGCCACCCTCCTCTCCCCCTTGCCGCACACGCCAAGGCCTGCAGGGACAGGGCAGCTCCTCACAGCTCCACAGGGACCCACCCCTGCCCACCAGGTGCCACACGAGGCCGCTTCTCTCTGTCCCTGTCCCCTGGGTCACGCCCCTGCCCTGCCTCCTCCCAGGCTGTCTTCCCTGCCGGCCAGCCTGTTCCTCGGTCTCTCTCTATATCTCTGTCCCTATCACGCTGGTGGCGTCTCTCTCACTCTCATTCATTGTCAACTTGCTCCTGTGTCCCCCAGGGGAAAGTGAGGGCACCTCCTCCTGAGCCCCCCAAGTTCCCTGCTGGGATGTCCTCTGCTTCCCCACCTGCCACTGCCTGTGGCCCCTCTAGGACTCCAGTCCAGCCGGCCACGCTCTGTGGGTGGGGGGAAGGGCCTGAGCAGGGAGGCCCTGCCCCGAGTGTCCCCTGTCTGGGCCATGGCGGGGGTGGGGTGCAGGCAGGGCAGCGCTCTGGGGCTGCAGCATCTCAGGAGGGGCTCAGTCTCCCCAGAGAGGCAGCTCCCCCCAGGCACCCCCACCAAACGCTTTGGACATGGCACCTGGGCTAGACCGGGGGTGTAAAGTGTGAGGGCAGCTGGCAGCCAGGCTCGGAGTCAGGGTTCAGACAGGAGAAGTTGGGGTGGTCCCCTCCAAGCCCCAGCGACACGGCTCTTCTTCCCCCACCCTCAGTGACAGGTGTTGTGTGCCCCCGGCCACATGGACCCCCTGAGGCGGTCGCCTTCCCCTTGCCCATCCTCGCGGCCCTCCAGCCCCAGGACCCCGCCCTGTGAGATGTTGGGTCACGTGGGCATTGATGCCGTGCTGGACCAGCTGAAGATCAAGGCCATGAAGATGGGCTTTGAGTTCAACATCATGGTGGTGGGTGAGTGAGAGGCGGGGTCCTCGGGGGACAGGCCGACGGGCGCCACACAGGCCTGGGCACGTTCCCCACCCGTCACTGCCTTGGCCTCCCCTTCGGTTAAGTGGGCCTGCCAACAGCCACCTCATGGGGCTGTCTTAAGGGAAAATCATTAAAAGACAAAAATCAGGCAGGTGCGGTGGCTCACGCCTGTAATCCTAGCACTCTGGGAGGCCAAGGCGGCAGAATTGCTCGAGGTCAGGAGTTCAAACCAGCCTGAGCAAGAGGGAGACCCCCGTCTCTACTAAAATTAGAAGAATTAATGACCAACTAAAATACATATACGAAAAAAATTAGCCGGCATGGTGGCGCAGCTGTAGTCCAGCTACCCGGAGGCTGAGGCTGCCGGAGTTGCTTGGACCAGAAGATTGAGGTTGCTGTTAGCTAGGCTAATGCCATGGCACTCACTCTACCCTAGGCAACAAAGTGAGACTCTCTCTCAAAAAAAAAAGACAAAAACCAGGCAAGGCACGGTGGCTCATACCTGTAATCCCAGCACTCTGGGAGGCCAAGGGGGGAGGATCCCTTGAGGCCAGGAGTTTGAGACCAGCCCGGGCAGGATCGAGACCTCGTGACTAAAAAAATAGAAAAACTAGGCCAGGCACGGTGGCTCACGCCTGTAATCCTAGCTCTCTGGGAGGCCGAGGCGGGCAGATTGCTCAAGGTCAGGAGTTCAAAACCAGCCTGAGCAAGAGCGAGACCCCGTCTCTACTATAAACAGAAATTAATTGGCCAACTAATATATATAGAAAAAATTAGCCGGGCATGGTGGCACATGCCTGTAGTCCCAGCTACTTGGAGGCTGAGGCAGGAGGATCGCTTGGAGCCCAGGAGTTTGAGTTGCTGTGAGCTAGGCTGACGCCACGGCACTCACTTCTAGCCTGGGCAACAAAGTGAGACTCTGTCTTGAAAAAAAAAAATAGAAAAACTAGCCAGGCATGGTGGTGCATGCCTGTAGTCCCAGCTACTCGGGAGGCTGAGGCAGGAGGATTGCTTGAGCCCAGGAGCCCGAGTCTGCAGGGAGCCACTGCAGTCTAGCCAGGGCAACAGAGCAAGACTCTGTCTCAAAAAAGAAAAATACAAAATAAAACCGAAAAACCACCCATAAAGCCCCAACCAAACCCACGCACAGCAATAACAGGGGGAGGCACTGGCCATTCAGACCCTTCTACCCACTGTGCCTGACCTTGGGCACATCCCCTGAATTCTCTCTGCCTCGGTTTCCCCATATGGCTTGGCACAGTGCCTGGTGTTTGGAAGGTTCTCCATGGGTCAGTTTAGCCAGAATGGCATTTTATGTATGCGAAATTAATGTAGTGGGTCAAAACCACACTCTCAGCAAAATTAAGCAAAATGGAATATAAAATATCGATGTGTATTATAAGGGTATTATTCTAAGGCATCTCTGGAGAACAGAAATATAATCCGAGCCACACATGCAACTTCAATTTTCCTAGTAACCACCTTTTTTTAAAAAAGTAAAAAGAAGCAGGTAGAAATTAATTTCAATAAATTTCAGTCACATCCTCAAAGGTGTGTGCTGAGTTGTGATGGGGGATGTGGTCCAAAGAATCTGAGAAGCACCTGCTGCCAGGAGAGCGCACAGTGCGCAGTTACACCCAACCAGGGTGAAGCTCCAGGCAGTGTTGGGTGAAAGAAGCCGGACACTAGGGAGTTCATGCCCTGTGGTCCTGGTCATGCCAAAGTTGGGCACAACTGCTCTGTGGTGACACAAGTCAGGTGAGCGGCTGTCTTTGGGGTCTTGGTGGGTCCTTACTGAGAGGGCACTCGTATAATGTACCGTCCTGTTCCTTGATCTGGTGCTGCTGACACAGGTGTGTCTAGTAAAACTGCCTTGAAATGCCCATCAATGGGTGAATGGATATTCCACCCAGGGTCTACCCATGCAGTGGAATACTATGCAGCCATGAAATGGCATGAAGCTGCAGCCTGGATGAGCTTCGGAAACACCATGCTCAGTGAGAGAAGCCAGACACAAAAGGGCACATGTTGTATGGTCCCATTTACATGAAATGTCCAGAACTGGCCACTCCGCAGAGACAGAATGCAGACCGGCAGTTACCAGGGGCTGAGACAGGTGCAATGGGGCGTGAGTGCTTAATGGGGCGGGTGTCCTTTTGGGGCGATTAAAATGCCTTAGATCTAGACAGAGGCGATGGTTGCCCGACATCATGAACATACCAAATGCCACTTTATTGTGCACTTTAAAATGGTTAATGGCTAATTTTTCATTGTATGGATTTTGCCTTGGTAAAAAATGTGGACAGGGAAGCATTGAGCGGCACACTTGTGATAGGATGCGCTTGTCTATATTTGTGTTCTACTTAGAAAACAGTGTTCTTCCTAAAAAATTGAATTTATTTAAGAGTTTGAGAAACACTGCCTAGAGTGTCCCCTCTGACTGCTGTCACCTGGCTGTCACTCCCAGGGCAGAGCGGGCTGGGCAAGTCCACAATGGTGAACACCCTGTTCAAGTCCAAAGTGTGGAAGACGACCCTGCCGGGCTTGGTGCCGCCCATACCCCAGACGCTGCAGCTGCACTCGGTGACCCACAGTGAGCGAGCCCCCCCCGCCCCCGCCCCGCACCCCACCCCCGCCCCCACCCCACCCGGGTCCGATCCGTCCCCTCCGCTCTCCCTCCACAGTCATCGAGGAGAAGGGCGTGAAGCTGAAGTTGACAGTGACTGACACGCCCGGCTTCGGGGACCAGATCAACAACGACAAGTGGTAGGTCCTCGGAAGGGGGGCCACGCTCCGGCCCCCCGGCGTCCTGGATCCCGCCCCTGTCCCTACCCCTCCGACCTCTGGGAACCGGCCCGGCCCCAGAGAAGCCTGGCAGTGTCATCTTTGACGCTGAGCTTCCCGGGTGTATAATGGGCGTTCTCAACTCTCCCTCCAGGACGGAAGGGCGTTCAGCAGGGACAGGCCTTAGCTTGCCACCGGGCACGCAGTGAATTCTCCGTGAAGGACGCGGTGTAGCTGGGGGTCAGGAGCCCACACGCCGTGGTCAGACCCCTGGGTTAGGCCACTTTCAGGCTGCATAACCGGGCCCAGGTCACAGAAGCTCTCAGAGCCTCGGTTTCCCTCATCTTAACTTGGGGAGGAGGCCACCCCCCTTGCAGAGCCGTTTCCGGCTCTCTCGGTGAGAGCAGCTGGTAAAACACATGCGGACGCACTCAGGATTGGCTGCAGAATGTGTGGGCCCCAGCGCAATGGCATTGCACTTGTTCAGAAGTTACTGAGGCCGGGCGAGGTGGCAGGCACCTGTAAGCCGGGCGCTTTGGGAGGCCGAGGCAGGAAGATGGCTTGAGGTCAAGAATGCATGACCAGCTTGGGCAGCATAGCAAGACCCTAACTCTAAAAAAAAAAAAAATTATTGAAAATTAGCCAGGTGTGGTGGTGTGTGCCCATAGTCCCAGCTACTCGGGAGGCCGGGTCAGGAGGATCTCTTGAGCGCAGGAGTTCAAGGCTACCATGAGCCTTGATGGCACCACTGCACTCCAGCCTGGGCAACAGAGCAAGACTCTGTCTCTGAAACAAACAAGAAACAATACAATAAAAAATAATACAAATAAAAAATATAGTAAAACAACTATTTACATACAATTTACATTGCATTAGGTATCATAGGTACTGTGAACTAGAGAAGATTTAAAGTGCACAGGAGGATGTGTGTGGGTTATACGCAAACAGCACGTCATTGTATATACGGGACTTGAAGATCCTTGGCTTTGGGTACCCTCAGGGGGTCCTGGACCTTATGCCCCTCAGATACAAAAGACGACTGTACTATGTGCCGAGCTCTGTTCTGCACACGGCCGGCAATCGCCCTTTCCCCTGTGGATTTTACATCGGTGGGGGAGGCGGGGGGTGGACTAGGACAAGGCCCATGACTCACAGGCGGGAGAACCCATCAGGGATCATCCAAACAGGACCCTGGTGAGAGTGACAGGGGTGCTGCTGATGACACCGGGGGAGTGCCAGGATGGCCGTAGGCAGATCGAAAGGTCAGGCACCTTGGAACACAGTCTGTTAGAAGGTGCAAAGTGCTGATGGGGAAAAACAGGGCAGGGAGGAGACAACACAGAGTCCCAGGGCTTTGCAACTGTAAATGGGGTGGTGGAGAAAGACTTCACCGAGAAGGTGACATTTGGGCACAGACCTCCAGGAGACGTGGGGATGAGGCTCTGGGTGTGTGGGAGCACGGTCCAGGCAGGGCAGCAGCACATGCAAAGGCCCTGGGGTGGGCAGGGAGGAGCAGAGCGGGAGAGGGCAGCGAGGAAGCAGGGTGGGATGGGGTGGGGCCTTGTAGGGCTTTGTAGGGCCAAGGACCGACTTTGGCTGTCCTTCGGCCACTGGAGACTGAGCGGGAGAGAGAAGCGATCTGACATGTGAAAGGGTCTGTTTGGCTGCCGTGTTGACAATAGCCCGTGGGGGAGGGACTCGGGCAGAGGAGTCCCTGCCGCGACCAGGAGAGAGTCAGGGCTGGCTTACCCTCCCTCCGCCCGTACAAACCAGGTGCTCTTACCGCCCCCATTGTACAGACGAGGAAGCTGAGGCCTCTGCTCCAGCCGGCAGGGGGTCTCTCTATGTCTCTCTGATGATTTGTGGAAGTGGGGGCCAAGTGGTCCACAGGCAAACTGGGACGACTGGTCACCCTAAGGCCGACCAGCCTGAGGACCCCGGGAGGCGGGACGTGGCTCCAGGCGTGGTTCTGAGGGGAGGGTCTGTCTCCGCCCCAGCTGGGACCCCATCCTGGGCTACATCAACGAACAGTACGAGCGCTACCTGCAGGAGGAGATCCTCATCACGCGCCAGCGCCACATCCCAGACACCCGCGTGCACTGCTGCGTGTACTTCGTGCCGCCCACCGGGCACTGGTGAGGTGGCTGGACGCACCAGGGGAGGGCCACCTACCTGCACGGGACAGGGAGGAGGAGGGGAAGGGGTGCCCAGTGGGGGCTGTGGGCTGGCCCGCCCGTCACTCCTCACTTGCCCCCACCCGCCCGGGCAGCCTGAGGCCCCTGGACATCGAGTGCCTGCAGCGGCTGTGCCGGACTGTGAACGTGGTGCCCGTCATCGCCCGTGCCGACAGCCTGACCATCGAGGAACGAGATGCCTTCAGGCGCAGGGTGATCTGGGTGTCCGGGGCAGGGCTGGGGGCGGTGTGACAGAGGGCAGAGTGGGCAGGGCCTGCTGAGGCCACCTGTGTGTGATCCCCAGATCCAGCAAAACATGAGGGCTCACTGCATCGACGTGTACCCTCAGAGGTGCTTTGACGAGGACATTAACGACAAGATCCTCAACAGTAAGATACGGGTGAGAGGCCGCGGGGGGCAGGACGCTGGCGGGGCCGGGCCTGGGTGATTTTCTTCCCACTCATGTTTTCCCTCCGAAGATTCATCTCCCTCCACACCGCGGGGGCACGTGCGTGTGATTCTAGCAGGCATGAACCTCCGCCTGTGCGCAGACTCAACGTGTGCACATCACGTCTCTAGTAAGGGGCTTGCACCCTGAATATATAAAGACCTCGTACAACTCAAAGATAAAAGACAACCCAGTTTTAAAGTGGGCAAAAGATCTGAATAGACATATCCCCAAAGAAATCGATATGCAAATATCACGGATATCCAAATGGCCAACAAGCCACATTTGTCATCAGGAATGCAAATCATGACCACACTGAGACACCACGTCTCACCCCCTAGGATGGCCGCAGCCCAAAACACGAGTGTTGCTCAAGGTGTGAGGGAACTGGGCCGCTCGCTCACTGCTGGTGGGCGTGGAAAACGGTGCAGCCACTTTGGAAAACAGCCTGGCAATTTCTTAAATGGTTAAACATCCAGTTACCATGCGACCCAGCAACTAAACTCCTAGGTATATGCCCAAGAGAAATGAAAACGGACATCCCCATGAAAACTTGCACAAGAATGTGCACAGCAGCATTATTCACGATAGCCAAGAAGTGAAAGCAACTCAGATGTTCGTCACCTGACGAATAGGTAAACACCGGGTGGTCTATCCACACGATGCCTGCTACCCAGCCATCATGAAACGGCACTGAAGCACCGACACAGGCCACAGCCCTGAAAACACTGTGCTGCGTTAGAGAAGTGAGGCACAGAAGGTCACATGTTGTATGACTCCATTTCCGTGAAATACCCAGAACGGGCACATCCAGAGACAGGAAGTGGGTCAGTGGTACAGCGGTGGGTGGCAGGGCGGGCAGAAGTGGGGAGCGATTGCTAAATATGTGTGGGGTTTCTTTTTGGGATGATGAAAATGTGCTGGAATGAGATTGTGAGGATACTTGCATAACCTTGTGATTATACTAAAAACCACAGAAATACACTTTAAAAGGGTGATTTTTTTTTTCAGCATGCCAATTATACCTCCATAAAGATGTTTAAAAGAAAGGGAGAGAAAGGAGGAGCTCACATTTTCATTTTCTCTGAATCAACTGACCTTCTCTAAGCCCCCGACCTGCCATCCATGTGATACAGTCACTGTCAGTCCACCTGGATCCTGCAAAGCACCTGGGCGAGCCTGGGGCTCATCTCCTGCACACCCCAGGCCTCAACCCCCTCGCCCAGGGACTCTGCCGACCCACACAGTGCTTTGCCAGGGTTAGAAAAAGGCAGCTCTCCCTTTACAGACGGGGGCCTGCATGTGATTTCAGCCCCACACAGCCCCATGGCCAGTCGTCTTTGTGCAGTGCACAGACCACACACCTGTTCACAGATGCCCTGCTTCCCATCTAGTACTCAGTACCTCTCTTATCCTCCCTTCTTTCCCCTCCCCACTGGAGCAATGAACATGATTTCTTGTAGAAGACTCAAAGAGCCTTGACCTCCACCAGCTTCTGCTTTCTGTCCCAAGGCAGGCCAAGACAGCAGCCTGGCCACAGCTGGGGCAGAGCTTGGGAAGATACAAGGAGAACATTCTCAAATTAACGTCTCCACAAATCCTCCAGACGTGTGGCATCCATCGAGGGCTGGGCACATAGTTGTCATTGTTAACGTCAGTACCGTTCCCCATCACAAATGAACTCCTAGAAATAAAAACAAACCCATACACAACAATTTAAAGTTTGCAAGTTCGAATTTCCACTTCTGGCCACGAGTGAATAAACAACTAGAGTTCACAATAGGGTTTCGCAAGCTTTTCCGGCAGACGGTAAATGTTTAAGACTCCCTGGGCCATCTGGTCTCTGCTGCAATCGCTCACCTCTGCTATTGTGCTTTGAAAGCGGCTCCAGACGAGAGTGCGCGAATGAGCTAGCCGCGTGCCCATAAAACTTAACACGGGAAAACAGGCAGGGCCGAGCGGGGCCTGTGAGCCACGGGGTTCCAAGCCCCGGTTTATGACGTTATCTCTTTTAACCCCCACGATACCCCCCAGTGGTGATTACTGTTCCGTTTCACTGGCAAGGGATTGGACGTAAACAAGGTGTTACCCATTCGTGTGGTTATTTGTTGGTAATGATACAGTTTGCAAGGATCGCTCCGCTAACCTTGGCCCAGGCTGAGCACTTCCCAGGCCCCCACCAGCCCTGTGGGTCTGTCTGAGTTCCCGCCGCACACGCGAGGCAGGGGGGCGCTGGCTAGACTTTGTGTCCTTGGCCTCATTACAAACCTTGTGCTCCTTCCACTACGTTCCCGCCCGAAAGGGACCGTGCCCCGCCCCTGCCTGGGAGCCTTCTCGCCGGCGCCCCCAGCGGGGCCAATCCTCCGTCCGCTCTCCTCCCGCAGGACCGGATTCCCTTCGCCGTGGTCGGGGCCGACAGGGAGCATGTGGTGGACGGGAGATGCATCCTGGGCCGCAAGACCAAGTGGGGCGTCATCGAAGGTCAGAGCAGGGGCTGTGGGGAAGGTGCGGGCGGGGGCTCGGTGGAAACCAGGGCGGGCTGGCTGCCTTTGGCGTCCTTAGTACCCATCCCAGGGCCCGCAGGCCTGGAAAAGAATCTCTTGTTCCAGCCGGGAGGCCGTGGGCAAGTTGCCAGACTCTCTGGGCCTCGGTTTCCGTGTAGTGAAACGGGCATCAAGGTAACATCAGCCTCAAAGGCTGGCTGGAGGGGAGGAGCCGCCGCCGTGGGCGCTAAGGCTGGCTGGCTGGGGCTCACGGTGGGCTACTGGTGTGCCGGGCACCACGTGTGCAGCTCCCGGGGGCTCACGGTGGAAGCAGGACTGACAGGCCCTGTCCCCACAGAGCTGATGGGACAGGGACAGGTGGGAGACACACGGCGAGGGGACAGTGGAGGGGGGCGCTGCCGTAGAGAAGGCCTCGATAGGGAGGGGGCAGCTGGCCCTGTCCTGCCTGTGTCGCCATAATCATTGGAAATACAGTATAGCATCATCTCGGCCATAACGCACGGTCGTCCCTCGGTACCCGAGAGGGACTGGCCCTGTGACGTGCAGGGATAGCAAAATCTGCAGATGCCCAAGCCCTGCAGTATTGAGTACTGGATGGGAAGCAGGGCGTCCATGTACAGATGTGTGGTGTGTGCACTGCACAAAGACAACTGGCCATGGGGCTGCGTGGGGTTGAAATCTGCGCCGCGGAACTGCAACACAGAGGCCAACGGTGTGCGATATGTAATAGGATGCTCGGTGGTTTCTTTGATTAACAACTATTTGGAGGAGCTGCTTGTCCCGGGCCCTGGGGACACAACAATGAATGAATGAATGAATGAATGAATGAATGAATGAATGAACGAACCAACCAACCAACCAGCAAAGGGGAGGTAGGGAAAGACAGTGAGAAACGTGGGAAAAGGGCGAAGGGAAAGTGCTCAGGTGGTGCCATAGCATGCAGCGGGCGCCTACTTGGTGCTCACCCCGTGTCTTGCAGTAGAGAACATGGCGCACTGCGAGTTTCCTCTCCTGAGAGATCTTCTCATCCGGTGAGGGTGTGGGGAGCCTGCGGCTGGGGGCTGGGGCCCAGGGGCGGGGGAGGCTGTGGTTGGGGCTGACCGCCTGCTGCCCCCCAGCTCCCACCTCCAAGACCTGAAGGACATCACCCACAATGTCCACTACGAGAACTACCGTGTCGTCAGGCTCAACGAGAGCCACCTGCTGCCCCGAGGGCCCGGCTGGGTGAACCTGGCCCCAGCCTCCCCTGGGCAGCTGACCACCCCCGGGCAGCTGACCACCGCCGGGCCTTTGAAGGCCTGCAGGCGGGCCCGCGACGACTCGGAGGACGGATTCTGAGCCCCGGCCGCCCCGGGCCTGCAGGGCTCCCCAGACCCCTCCTCACGCACGCCTGTGCACCAGAGCAGCTATTAAAGGTGGACATTGCTTTCTATGAAAAGCCGTGCTTTGCAAAAGGTGTTTTGTAAATGACTTCTTTGAGCTACTGGCAAGTAATAGGTTCTTTTTAAAGTAATAGCATGAGACCCAGGGCCCTAGAGACTCTTTTCTTTTCTTTCTTTTTTTTTTTGAGACAGGGTCTCGCTCTGTCACCCAGGCTGGAGTGCAGTGGTGTAATCACAGCTCACTACAACCTTGAGCTCCTGGGCTCAGGTGATCCTCCTGCCTCGGCCTCCTGAGTAGCTGGGACTACAGGCTCATGCCACCACACCTGGCTACTTTTTTATGTTTTGTTTTTTAAAACTTTCTGTAGAGACAGGGTCTCACTATGTTGCCCAGGCTGCCCTCGGGAGTCTTGAAGGCCTGGGAGGGGCTGCCTTGGACGCCCGGCCCCCTCTGGCCCAGAACCGGAGCCAAGTCCCCAGGCGGGCTCTCCAGTCCATCCCAGTCCCTCACTCTTGGCCCAGGCTAGGCCCATGGGCCCGCCACGAACACTTAGCATCTCCTCATCTTTGCAGCCTGTTCTCTGGCTGCCTTCCCCGAACTCCACGCTGCACTGCGCCCTGCCTTCCTCTCTCCCTGCCCCAGCGGAGCACTACGGTGAGCAAACAGCTCCCACTCTAGAATCCGGCAAATGCTGTGAAAATAAAATCCCAGCAGCAAGTCACTCACTCCTCCTTTGCCTTGACTTCCTCACCCCTAAAATGGGTTTGACGGCATCCCTCTTACGGCACCACTGTTGGAACAACACGCAACGATCCCTAGGACGTGCCTCCCACGACCCGGGAGGTGGCACAAAGACAGAGGCGATGGGGACAGCATGGAGCAGCAGTCCCGGGAGGAGGACCTGCTGCACACGTGTGAGTCCACTCTCCCAGGCTGCTCCAGAACCGCCAAGACAAGCAGACTTCATGGAATCTCACAGGGCGGGGGCCAAAGCTAAGTTAAGTTTGGTAACAAAAGGCAGGGTGATCCCTCTAATCTAGGGAGCCAGGCAGACACCCAGCTCCTGTAAGGATTAAGCACATGGTAAACATTCAACAAATGACAATAGGGAATAGTAGTATTAGCCCAGCTAAAAGTCACCCCCTCCATGAAGGCCTCCTAGACTTCCCCAGGCAATGCCCTCACTGCTGTCTCTGTGTATGCTTCATCTGGTTTGTGTTCTGGTCAGTCTCCCCCGACAGGCCGGGAGCCCCGTGAGGGCAGAGATATGTTAGCTTCGTCCCCTCGCCAAGCACCGGGCAGGTGCTCAGGACACGCCATGACTGAGTGGGCCCTGCATTGCCTGCCGCACAGCCATTTGCTGGCTGAATCACAAACCTGCCTCTCCGCCCCCACCCCAGGCTGACTCCCGGCTCAGGTAGCTCCCAGGGCCCGTGGGGACACATGCCACCCACAGCTAACATGTCAGAGTTGGCACGCTGCTACACGGAGGGTGAGACACTGTGCCACATCACAGCACACTCCCAAGCTTAGCCCTAGGGCTCGGCAATATGGCAATGTCTACAATGTTTCAGAAGCACACGCCCTTTGGCTCAGCAACTGCATTTCTAGGAATGGATCTTACAGATAGACCAGGGTTTCTCAACCTCAGCTGTCAGGATCTTGCTTTGTCACTCAGGCCTATGGAGTATGGCGGCATGATCATAGCTCACTGTAGCCTTGAACTTCTGGGCTCAAGTGATCCCTCGGCCTCAGCCTCCCAAGTAGCTGGGACTACAGGTGCCTGCAACCATGCCCGGCTAATTTAATGTCAGCACTTATTAGCATTTTGGGCTGGATCATTCTTTGTTGTGGGGGGCTGTCCTGTGCACTGTAGGATGTTTAGTAGCATCCTTGGCTTGGCATGGTGGCTCACACCTGTAACCCTAGCACTTTGGGAGGAGGAGGAGGCAGAAGGATCACTTGAGGCCAGGAGTTTGAGACCAGCCTGGGCAACACATCAAGACCCCATCTATTAAAAAAAAAAAAAAAAGAACAGATGCCACATGGACAATCTAGCATAAGCATCATTGTCAAAATTAAGTTTCTGATAAGGTTGGACAGCAGAATCAGTGCAGTGCTTCTAGCATGAGCCTGGCTGCGTCACTGATGAACAAATTCCATTCATTCATTTATTCACCATTTGGCAAACACTTACTGAGCACCTGCTAAGTGCCAAGCAGATCTGCCCCCTGTGTGGGCAGAGGGGGCATTATGCCCAAGTGGATGGCCACTCTAAAGAGGGTCTTGGGACAGAACCAGAGTCTTCCGAGAAAGGGTTCAGATGTCTACTCCAAGGCAGAGCTCTGATTACCTTCCCAGTGTTGAAGCCGGCCTCTTGGGGCGTGGTCAGGGCACAGGCCCAGGAGGGGGCCTGCCTGAGTTGGTCTCAGCTCCTCCTCTTTCCTAGTTGTGTGGCCTTGGGCAAGGCTTTGCACCTCTGAGCTTCCCTCATTCATGTAGATTGTGGGTTATAATGATATCTACTGGAGAAAGTCATCAAGATTAAAGTAGCATAGTAAAAACACAGTCCTGTGTACTCAGGAAGTACTTAAAAAACATTAGCTTTTATTATTAGCTCATGGACGCCTTAGGAAAAGTGTACTAAGACACTCTTTACTAACCACTTTTTTGGGGCATTGTAGCTCTGTGATGATGCTTGTAGATCATTTAGTCGAATTAGCTGAAGTATTTGACTCGAATTGAATTGTTGGCTCTCAGTCATTTAGATGTTGGGAAATTGCTACTGACACCAGATCCCAGCAGCACACCCACAACTAGAGATCGTTCACTCCAAGACTGCAGCTTTCTTGACCAGCAGCCCCCACATTGTAAGGAGAAACTGAGGCACCCAGGGTCCTTCCTATCTTCAGTTCCCACCACAAGGCTGTAGGGTCCTGGAGCAGTCCCTACATCTAGCATCTGCCTTTAGAAATGCCTCCCACCCTGGGAGGGGCAGTCTCCAGAAATCAGCAGTGGGCAGCCAGTATCTCGTCCAACCTGCCTGGTGTGCTCACAATAAAAACTGTATACTGGTTGCTGGAAAAAAAATGAAACATGAGAAAGAATGAACAGTAGGAGTGGAAGTACAGAAAGGAGCAGAAACCAGAGAAAGACATGTCCGTGGCAGGAGACTGGTTTGTCCCCAGCCAGCCAGGGTGGTGGTGGTGGGTGGGGAGGAGGTGTTAGGCATTAGGTCTCTGGATGGCCAGAGCTAAAGGACCCAAGAGTCCCCTGGTCATTATGTCAATGATCATGTTATGGGTACTCTCAACCACTTTCCCCAGGCTCCACAATGACACCTAGTTCACTTCCTGTTCATGGAGCCTGCTTGTCACAAAGTGAAGCCTACTACGTAGTTGTTGACTAAATTAACAAATGAAAGAAATAAGCAATTGATAACCAAAACAGCCCAAGCAAATAACTTTTGGTTCTCCTTTTCCTAGAGTCTAAAAATTAAGGGATTGGACTAAGACAGTGGCCTGGGAACCAACACCACCCCCAACTCTGCTGCTTACTAGCTGCGCGTGTTCTTGGGGTGTGTCCTAGTTTCCTCGTCTATGATATAGGGATAACTGTACCTATCAGTTAGGTACAGATAGGTAACCTACCGTATCAGTTAGGATTGTTTCAAAGATGAACCAAGTTAATAATTGCAAAGCGCCTAAAACGGTGCCTAGCAGAAAGTACTATGTACGTAAACAAATAAATTTCTAGGGTCCTCTCCACCGTGGACTTTTTCAGGCCAGGGAAGAACAGATGTGGAAAGGAGTCGGGCAGAGCGGCCCAGAGATTGCAGAGCCTCCTAGCTCTGGCGCGCATGCTCACTGAAGGTGCGGGACTATGTTACCCACAATGCATCCCTTCCAGGGCTACGTTACTTACCCACAGTGCCTACCGAGGGCCCGCCCACACGGCCTTGTTCGCACGCCCGGACAGCCAGCTCAGCCAATGGCGCGAGGACTGCGTTACCCACGATGCCTCGCGCGGCCCCGCCTTCGAACGGCCTCGTTCCCACGCCGGGCTGGGTTCTTCTACCTCCGGATCAGCGTTCCGGGTCGGCCCGCTCGCCGTGCGCCCCGCGCCCACAGCCCAGCTCGGGTCCTGGCCCGCTGCTCCCGTCGTGCCCCGAGCCCCGCACGGCCTGCAGCGCTGCCGGTGAGTGCGGGCGCGGGGGCGCGGGTCCCGGCTTAAGCTCCCATTCGGCCGCCCGTGCCAGCGCGGGAGTTTTCTCTGCGGCTTCCCGCACCGCTCCCGCTCCACCTGAGGGGAGGAGACGCCAGAGCAGCCCGGCCGGGAGTCCCAACCCTCCCAGGCCCCCACAGGGCCGCGGAGGAGCTGCAGGGCCTCGCTAAACTCAGACATGGGGTCAAGTTGGGGCAGACCCTGCATCTTCCTGGGCCCCAGTTTTCATCAGATTTCTAAAGGGACCCTCCATGAAGGGCCAACTGTGATAATAGAAAATAACGTTTCTCAAGCTCTGACCACGTCCCAGCACTGCGCTAAACCCTTCCCAAACATCCCTTTTACTCCAAGCAGCAACCTGTGTGTAGACCATGTTAACATCTCTGTTTTTCAAATGAGGAAACAAGCGCAGAGACCTTAAGTAATTTGCCTGAGAATTAGCGGGGGGTTAGTAGCGGAGATGGGTTTGTTCTTCAACCCTTTTCCTTTTGCCAGTGAAGATGATTTGGCCCTGGAACCAGGGCAGGGGCTTGCAGGTGCAGATGGCTTATCCGGCCCCAGTGCTGCACTCCAAATGATTTCATCGTCTCTCCACAGAGCCCTGGAAAAACATCTTTTCCTGTGTCTGGCCAGAGGTATAGGGAGTGACAAGTTTGACTTCAGGGAGGAGTAAGGCCTGCTGGGAACGATGGCCGCTGCCCCTGGCCTCCAGCCTCCGCCACCCCTGGAGCAGGACCTGGAAGAGCAGGACCTGGAGCAGGATGAGATCCTGATTGTGAAGGTGGAGGAGGACTTCTGCTGGGAAGAGGAGCCCTCCCTGGAGGTGGAAGACCCCAGCCCTGAGACTTTTCGCCAGCTTTTCCGGCTCTTCTGCTATCAGGAGGTGGCTGGGCCGCGGGAGGCCCTGAGCCGCCTCTGGGAGCTCTGCTGCCGCTGGCTGCGGCCCGAGCTGCGCACCAAAGAGCAGATCCTGGAACTGCTGGTGCTGGAGCAGTTCCTGATGGTGCTGCCGGGGGAGATCCAGGCCCGGGTGCGTGAGCAGCAGCCGGAGAGCGGTGAGGAGGCCGTGGTCCTGGTGGAAGGGCTGCAGCAGGAGCCCAGGAAACAGAGGCAGCGGGTGAGGTGGGGGGCTTTTTAACTCTGAGGTGAGGAAATGGGGCCCCTGCC